CCATGGTTCTGGCATACTAAGCACTAATTACTCCATGATAGTTTTGCTTTGACCAACTGGCAAGGAAATGTGTATACTATCTTCATGCTAATTAAGCAAATCCTGAAAACAAACATATGTAGCACCTGGGAATCTATCTTCAAATAGGCCGAAAACAAAACATGCTTTGCATTTCAGAGGGACTATTTGCTATTTGTGGCCATACTTGATGTTGACACTGGTCCTCCAAAAGGCACATGCCGCTGTGAGAAGCCAGCTTATAAAAATGTTGAGAGGCATCATGCTTGAGTTTCAATTTTCATTTGTCTAGCCTCTAGGCAGTTAAAAAATTAAAAACCAAGAAATAAAGCCAGTGGAACTTTGGCACAAGCTAGTTGTACTTTGGATTACTTGCTTCCTTTTTGTAAGCATCTAGAGACATCGGCCTTGTCTTTACTGTGGAAGTCAACCTGTGTTGCGATACTACAGACACACAAAAGTTCACATGACTGAATAGTTCTATGCACACACATGCATCGCTTCCACCGAAAAAAGTCTCTCTATAGAGACCAGGGCACCACCCAGATATTTGGGCCTACCAGGAGCTTCCAGGTGTTGTCCAAAACACCTGGAGAGCCCAAGGTCGCTGGTTCTTGCACAGATGCCACTAAGAAAGTTCAAGCCCAGAAGAGGTCAGGTTCATTGCTGGGCAGCTGCCCAGGCTATTGTGCCTCAGCAATGAGCCCCCCCCCCCCCCCCGGATCCTGGAAGGCCACTGCCTTGTTCATCCCACCTCTGCCATTGCCACTTGTCCAGCAGCTGCCTCCAATGCGGCAGTAACAGCAGCAAGAAGGAGCCACTGCTCTCCTCCTGCTCATCTTCACCTGTTTTCCTTCTATAGCAGGGATGGACCATGTGGGGCTCTCCAGGCTACAGTCCCCATGATGCCCCACTACTGGCCATGCTGCCTGGGGCTGATGAGAGCTTAAGCCCAAAGCATCTGAAGAGCCCCAAGCCCCACAGACTTGTCCTTCATGACATGCAGGCAGTTGTGCTGAGCCATACCAAAGGCGGAGACCCAGAAGCCTGCATCAGCCAGGAGCCAGCCTCCTGTCAAACGAATGGTCCATTCAGGACCAAGCCACCCCAAATATTCTATATGACAACGAGGAATTGTTGCTGGAAAGTGTCATCCCCCACCAGCCACTGTGAGGATTGCAGCTAAGCTCAGAGGAAACGGGGGCAGGGGCTGCCAGTGTCCCTGTGGATAAAATAGTCGGTGTTGTGGCTGTATCCTTGAACCCTGCTCCTCTTCCCCACCAAACCCAAATTGCACACCACCACAATGTACATTGAAAGCCACAATTCTTCTTTCTTCTCTAGGAGGTTCCAGCAGAAGAGGGCTTCACAGTGGCAGCTGCCTGTACAGTAGAAGGTAGAAAAAAATGTATAACCCTTCAGTGCTACGACCCAATTTGGTGCCCACTGGATGCTTTGGACTTCAATGCCCATCAGCCCCAGGCAGTGTGCCCAATAATGCTGAGGTTGTAGTCTCAATCAGGGTGAGCAAGACGGCTAGCCCACAGCATTAAAGACTGAGTTTTGGTATGTGGACCAGTATTAACCACGCAGATGGGCAACACTGTCTCAAAACAGTTGTAATTGGATTCCTCTGTTGGGTTTCCCAGAGAGTACCTATCCTTTTAAAAGACAAATAAGGCAGGGCACAACCATTTTACCTTCAGCTCCATTTTTCCACCCTCTTTCCCTGCTTACACTGTCCAGAAGGAGGGACAGATTTGTATGACCGGATGCCTACTGACATGGAAATCGTTCTGGAAAAATAAGCAGAAGAAGCAAGACTGTAACTCTGTGAATATCTCAAAAAATACAAAATGCGTGTTTCTAAAACAAGGCATGTCATAATATCTGCTTGTTGTGTTGTAGTTCTACATTGACTTTACAATTTGCATTTACATTTCTGTTTGATTTGCTTTGTTTGATTTCTTGGGTTACTATCCATTTCTTTTATTTGACATGTTTCCTCTTAAAGAACAACAAGCATTTATTTACAGAATCTCACTTTCTTTTTTTTAAGTAATTGCTTGACATACAGAGCAAGAAAGTTATATCCCCATAATATTTATCAAATATTTATCTACAATAGAATCGGTATTCATCTTAAATAAAGCCTTTAAAATGCAGTTATCAATTTGTTTACACACAGGATAATATCCTAAGAATAATTGAACAGAAGGAGGTTCAACAAAGGAGGCCCCTTTCCCCTCTGTGCCCCCCAAATCCTATCCAAAGAGCAGGCAAACCTTCCTGAAAAGCAAAGGATGGCAGTGGGGAGGGAGAATCATTCAAGCGGTTTGCCCAGTTTTTGACCATTGTGCCCAATTCTGGCCAATCTCCTCTTCCAGTGCAGCCAGTTGTCACACTTCCCAGGATATTTAGGGGATCACGACCCTTGGGAAAGAATTTCCAGGAGCACACATGGCTGAGGAAGAAATGGGTGTCCCTTCCATAAGCTTTTTATGGTCTTGTTTCTCAGAATCCAACCCGCAGCAAATTCTTAAGAATTTAACCTGTATAACAACTTCCCATGAAATCAAGGGACCAACTTTTGTTTCATAAGGACTACTTCATACATATATATATTGCGTGTAAATTTAATATATATCAAGTATATATGTAATTGCATGTATATTATATATGTTGTGTGTGTGTGTGTGTGTGTGTGTGTAGGAAGAGGGAGAGAAATTAAATTGCATAATGTATAAGAAAAGGCCTGCAAACTGTTCCTGCTATTAGAACTAATCAGTGCAACTATTCCTATAAGATTTTCCTGAATATATATGGTGGTATTGTCATGTTGGATCCAACCCTGTCCAAAGCATTGCTGCAAATGAATTAGCATTTATAGCTTCAGATGTTATAGAGTACAAGCTTCCTCATGATGAGAAAACAACTATTTCATAATCCTGCTAATTTGAGAACTGAAATGGTAGTACTTTGGAGTCAGCCAAGCAGGGTTCACATCTGTTTTGAAGAGTTGCTGGGATTCTCCTTTCAAACAAGCACCTTATTTCAATAATATTAGCATGATTTCTTGCTATTTAAATTTCTACCCTACCATATACTATCATTTACACACATTTACAATGCACAAAAAAGGGAAACAAGCTGGAATGCAGATGGGAACAAGTGAGCAAACCAGGAAAAGCTCTCCATTCTTATTCCTAGTCACTACAGTGACAGAAAGAATTGATACGTGCAATGGAATTTCCTGATAAAGATTCTCCAGGGCTACAGATGGAGAACATCAACACCCGAAACATATTTGCATCCAGACATTCTCCTCAAATTCTCCTCGGCATATTTTGATGGATGCCCAAATATTCTCGGAATATTTTCCAAATGCTGAATTTCTGCATTTTGCATCTAATGACATGTGTTTTCAGTATTTATTAAACCATAGATGTTTAGAATGTCTTGCTCCTTGCAGGATGTCCAAGGTAAGATGAAAATGCAGCACCCCAGTAGATGAACAGCCTGCCTCTGTTGGAATACTTGTAACAAAGAGAACAAACTGGCCTCCTATGTCCGCTGCTGTTACCATCAGGAAATTGCTTCTACCTTGTGTGTCTACCTTGCATTTCCTCTGTGTTTCTTAAATACTGGAGAGAATTCTGGAACATGTTCTAGGGGGCCCACTTAGATGGCGTGTAACGTGTCAGCCTCCGTCTTGTTGCCCATTGTGAAGTGCGGGCATTCCCTAAAACTCCCCAGGATTTGGCAGGAGAAATGGACTAGTGGCAGAACAGCTGTTGCTTTTCTCAGTGATAAACCTCCATGAAGTTTCTATTCCCCACAACAAACTGAATTTTAGCATACTTGACAGGATTGGAAGTTGGTATGCAATAACGACAACACTGGACAGTTACAGCAACAGTGTTTGAGAGCTGAAATTTTGCTTCAGCTTTTCTCACTGAACAGTGTGCGTGGTGCCACCTGAAAACATTTCTTGAGTTTTTATGCATGTCCATTTCAGCTCAGTGCCTGTTTTTGGATGTTTCCCCCTGAAATATGGCTCCTGAACTTTAAAAACCAGCCTGTTAGACTAGCGTGTAGTAGGATTTTACCGTATAACTAGCTCTTTTTAATGTTTGCTGGAAATTTATTTTGTGGCAGGGAATTCAAACCTTTGAGCTCATCAGCTGCAGTCTCTGATTCCATCCAGGAAAAACAGCACAAAACCCGATCCTGCTGCATGTGTGGTTTGGCTTGAGAGAGTCCCCCACTACCTTCCGATCCATTTTTACCCCAACTCAGATAGCTCTTCTCCCCTCACGCAACCTTTTTGTGTCTGCTGCACCTGGAGCTGCAGAGACTTTGAAAACCCAGCATGTTTTTAAAAAATGCTCTACTGTGTGTAGTCAACTTTCTATTAACCTGCCTCTCAATTAAATAACCAATAGCCTATATATATAAATATATATATACACACACACACTAAATGTATTGTATATATAATTTTATATATATGTTTGTAATATTTAATCTTTATATATGTATTTACATCCATACACTTCCAGAATATCTCTGCCTTACATGTTGAAATAGGTACACCCTGAAGCCACCCTCCGCAGCTCATCGAATTGGTTCACACAATCATGGTGCGGGTAACAAGCCAGCTGGATTTCCCTACGGCCTTTGTGGGCATGGCTGGCCATGTTGTCTGAACCCAACTAGTTTTTCTTGTCTGAGGCAGCAGCAACCCTCAATCGGCCATGGGCTGTTCTTGGGTTATTTGAGGGTTCCAGCCTCTGCTCCTCCCACAACCAAGCTACATCATGTGGATTTAGGCAACGTAGCAAGACCATTCCCCCAGCCAACAAGGAAACGAGGGAAACCCCGCTGGTACATGGCTGGCTTCTACAGTGCAGGAAATAAGGCACCATGGCTTGTTTCCCTCACTCCAGTCATGCAAACCAGCCTATTGTGTTACAGTCTGCAGAGAGCTGGGTTCTTCTTCCTTATGCAGAAGATGGCTGGGTGAAGCTCCTTTGACTGGAGCTTCTGAGACTCAGGACAAAGGTGGAGGAGTTGCTTTTCTTGCTGACACTCAGGTCACATCCTTGCCGAGACTTTAAATACCGAGAGGAGCAGCAGAGGAACCTTTGCAAAAGATCGTGGAAAAGATGGCCAGTGAAAAGCATGTAGATCCAGGGGTTGCAACAGCTGTTCAGGCTTGCTAGAAGCGTGGTGATTATAAATGGTAAATCTGTAGGGAGAAAAATGCATAAGAAGAAAATAAGTACCAAGGAATAGTGTGAATTTTAGGAATAGCAAGATTTGCTAGAGAAAGAATGCCCTTCCCAATGCACAAATGTGCTGTTATCATGAAAGAGAGAGATAACATGAACGATGCTGCGTGGCCCTGGGTTTTGCTTTCAAAGATGTCTTACTGTTTTCCACCAGTCTTACAGCGCTTTTAATGGCAATAGAAATGGAAGACAAGGAACATGACCAATTCATGGGCAAGAAGCATTCGGTAGGAGTAAGACTGATAGAATAAGCCCATCTGTCTGAAGTAGCAGTTTATTTTTACAAATCTTTAAGGGCAGGCATATATTTATCAAGTAATGATTGCATCCTTCCACAAATTGGGCTGTAGGACAGTGACTTCATGGACCGATTTTTTTCTTTCATCTCTGGTAGAGAGTCCTTGATGGTCCTTGGATGGAGCTGAGAGCCAGTGTGGTGTAGTGGTTAAGAGCATGGGACTGGGACTCAGATGACCTGGGTTCTAGTCCCCGCTCAGCCATGGAGCCAGCTGGGTGACTTTGGGCCAGTCACAGACTCTCAGCCCAACCTACCTCACAGGGTTGTTGTTGTGGGGATAAGATGGAGGAGGAGAATGATGTAAGCTGCCTTGAGCCCTTTGTAGGAAAAAGGCAGGCTATAAATAAATAAATAAAAATAAATAAACCCAGTGCTTTGATTTTTGATGGAGCTTGGAAAACACTGCAAAGGTAACACAGAGGAGAAAGCACATTTTCAAGAATGAATAAGTACTATTAACTAAAGTTCCTTCCAGTTTGTTTTTTTGTTTTCCAAATTTATCAGGTTGTATTGTCATTCTAAAGATGAGATGATTGGTAATCCATCATTAATACTAGGAGAAAATTAACAGGCCACCAAGCCATTGTTAGGTTTGTATTTCCATATGCTCCATTTAACAGGAAACTCAAATCTTCCCACATATTAAAACTTGGAGTACTAACCAACTTCAGGTTACATCTGAATTAGTCTGGAAGAGACACCCCTCACTGAGATCTAGCCCTATAATATAGTCTTAATTAGCATAAGCAAGTCAGTGCAAACAACACATGTTCAGTAATAACATGGGTTAATGCTTTCTTGTATTTAACAGACAATGTAATAAGCTTTTACTGCAAGGCCAAAACTGCATTTGTAGTGTCTCACAGAATTTATGGCTTGTTATTTTGTTCGTGTTACAGTAAAGATATAAGCTACCTAAAAAGCAATTACAGATGATTGCTTGGCACTATTTAATGTTCAAGAGAATAAGGCCTCTTGGAATTACTGTACCTTCATGCCAGATGGGGAAAAAATGGCAAACTCATAAAGCACTTTCCCATTCGATAGCTATTCTTTAAAAGTGCCTGACATTCTGCTAACTCAGTGATGAGTTATGCTTTCTGTGATGTCTGATTTTCCAAGCATGTCCACTCATACTCAGGGACACCGATATCAATGAGAAATATATTCTCAGATATTTCTTCTCAAATACCATAGAAGCAGGGTGTGCAAACTTCAGGTGTACAAGAGCTACTTGGGGTCTTTTGCAAGGTTATGAAGCCCCCCATAACGGTATTCATTCATTCATTTCATTTTTCAATTTATATCCCGCCTTTTTCCTACAAAGGGCTCAAGGCAGCTTACATCGCCTCCTCCATCTTATCCCCACAACAACCACCCTGTGAGGTAGGTTGGGCTGAGAGTCTGTGACTGGCCCAAAGTCACCCAGCTGGCCCCATGGCTGAGCGGGGACTAGAACCCGGATCGCCTGAGTCCCAGTCCCAGGCTCTTAACCACCACACCACACTGGCTCTCATTTGGTTTCTACATCCCTGCTTAATGCAGAACCAGTTTTAGACATGCAGGTGGGTGATGGCACATTATGGACCTGAGAACATCCATAACCGGAGGGCTGAAGCCCAGAAGATAGTCCATGCAGTGTGCATTTCCAAGCAACTGTGACCTTCCAAGAAATAAGATCCTTTGTTCTTCCCTTAATCAGAAACTATTCCTTCCTTTTCTTCCTGAAACCTCTTCAGATCTATCCATTCTGCCCTTCACATAGCACATCACCTTCCATTGAAACCTGGGGAACCATTGAAACCATCACAGGTGGTCTCTAGAGCCCTGACCCGCCATTATCTCAGTGCCCTCATATGCCAACAGGACCACAGTGCCTGCAAATTTCATTCAATTTTGCTTAGAAAAAAATATGTTGCTATTTCCTTTTTTAATGAAAAACAAACATGTAAAGGCTCAAAGCCACCTGCACCTATTTGTATGAAATTTGGCAGGCACCATGGACTTATAAGCAGCTACCATTCCTGCAGGCATCATCCGGAATGTTGTATCTCCTCATTGCTTTCCAAGGATCGTCAAAAGGAAGGACTTCAGATTTCCGAACAAAGATGCTGGTCCCAAGTTGATCTGGGCTGCACCCAAATTGGTCTGAGGCAAATGTGACTTTCAAATAGCTGAACTGGGGTCTGAACTGAATTAGACCTGCCAATTTTCCCTTTTGTCAAAGTGCAGCGTAAGATTTACCCTGTGTGCACTTTGCCTCTGCCAAAGCTTCCTCTATGGGGATACATCATACACATGTGAGCCCACGTATGTGTATACATGGGAACATTTGGCAACACCACTTCCGTTACGAATCATACATAATCATGCCTCTTCCACTTTATATCAGCCTTCTTCAACCTGGTGCCATGCTGCTGAGGATTCTGGGACATGTATTCCCATAAGGGCAGGTTCAAGGAGGCTACATTAGCATGTCAAGACTCTTGAATTTATTCAAATAGAGACATAAGCAGTGGCCTGCAAGAAGAAGGCTTTTCTGTTATTTCCAGTTTGACCCATCAGAAATGGACACACAGTGCTTATGAATTTTCATCACACTTGGCAATACAAGCCAACTTTTTCAATATAAGTGAGTTATGTAACTAAGAAAAATAGCACAATATCCTGACAAGTACAATGTTATGGGACTGAGCCATACTCATATCCGGTTACCTCTCTTTACAAAAGTTTACCGAGATTTTATTCTAATTGTAGTAGATTTTCTCTATATTACCTGAAGTGTTCGTCTTAAGTAAACAAACCATCCTGAAAGAGGCATGCCCACAATACCAGGCATCTTGGAAAGAAATAAGAGTTCAGAAGACGGGGACAAACGTAACCTCCCCAGCGTGAACAAACAGAAGGAGAAACACTGAAAAGGGGTTCATGGGGCAAGGAAGATGTGCTATACTGTTACTGTAGCCATACTGATTGTGCAGTCAATGAATTCTGTTTGTCTCCACAACCATGCGTAAGTCTGAACTGCTAAGCAGTTGAAGTAAGTGTTCATGACATGAAGAGTTTCTCTGAAATTCACTCTACTATAAAACCCATCCATTATCTTTAATTATATAAACAAACCCAGTTTGTCGAAAGAAATGTTAATCATCACTGCTTGAGATTAGCACTGCATTCCCTTATCATATATCTAATTTTCATCCATCATTGAAACAAAGGAAGTTTAGTAGCATATAAATAGACAAAGAGACAGACGCTCCTGAGCAGTATTTTGAACTTGGGAAAAAGAAAAGCAAAATCCATAGGAAAACTAATTCATGCAAATCCTCAGCCATTCTACTGGACCTCCAAAGCACAGATCTGTTGTGGTTATACCACATAAGGGTAATTCTTTAAGGAGCTACATGGCTCTTGCTTAATTTTCCTACAACAGACTAAGAAAGCTATCCCTCTGGTATTGGTGCAGACTTGTACTTTGAGATCCAGCTAAAGAAGCCCCCAGGGCCCACACTCCTGGTGGGGGTGGGGCATGGGAAAGGGGGTGGGGCCAAAGGCAGAAAGGGTGGGGCCAAGATGCAGCCCCTCCCCTGAAAACTCCACGTTATGGTGGTTGGGTAGAGCCACAAGATCATTCAGATTCCCAGCTATGTGGCTGGAAAACAGCCTTGACCTCAGAGCTGGTGACTGGCACTTGGAGCGCCATCGCTTCTCACTGCAGCAAGCATGGAAAGAACCACGGGGCTGCTTCTGCAAGGCCGCAGAAGCGGAGAAGTTTGAAGGGGCATTCTGGGAGACAGGCACTGGGAAGATGTGGCATATCCTGGCAGTATCACCACCTCCTTCCCTCTTGCTGAGAAGTGCCACCATTAAATGACTAAAATTGGCTCCAAAGGATTGCACCCTAAACTCTTTCCCTCAATAATTAATCATGAGGAGAGGGATTTCAGCCATTTTGAAAAGCCAAGAAACTGCAGAAGCGCCAGGAAACTGCCAAATGATCTGCGAGGTGATGCTTGTGGAAAGCGGTGCAGCCCTCTGAGGAACTGATAAGGACATAAGAAAGGCCATGGGGAAGCAGACCAATGGTCAATCCAGTCCAGCAATTGGTTCACACAGTGGCAAACCAGCTGCCCACAGGATCCCTCAAGCAGGACGGGTGCAAGACCGCCTCCTGCCTAAGCTCCAGAGCAACTGGCGTACGCAGGCACCCTGTCCCTGGGAAAGGAGGTAGCAAGGCCAGTGAGAGCCTCCTCCTTCATACATTTGTCCAGTCCTCCCTTAAAGCCATCCATATTGGTGGCCATCCCCACTTCCTGTAGCACTTAATCCCATAGTTTAACTATGTCCCAAGCGACGAAGCACTTGCTTTTGTCTGTCTGGAATCTCCCACCAAACGGCTCCAAGGAGCAAACCTGGATTCGAGCATTATGGGAGAGGGAAAAAGATTTCCCTCTCCACTTTCTCCACATTAATGTCTCTCCTTCTTCACCCTTTTCCCAAGCCCAGCAAGCCCAGCTGTTGTAACCATTCCCCACAGAGTAGTTGCTTTAGTTGCTCTTCTCTGTACTTTTTCCAACTCAATAATTTCCTTTATAGATGCAGTGAGCAGGACTACAAGCAGTTGCACCAACTCCAGCATTTCGCCCCAAGTGTGAGGTT